CGGGGACTCGATCCAGGGACTCCAGGATCATGACCTGAGCCGAAGGCAGTCGCCTAACCAACTGAGCCACCCAGGCGCCCTTCTCCAGAATTATTTTCTGAACTTGCCTTATAATTTTCCTTTTTTATTCAGGATAATTAAATCTCCTTGGATGGGGTAGAAAATGATTTTAAAATGTATGATATAGAGACTTTCATGTTCACCTGGTGGGAGTTCTACAGATACATCATTATTTACACAGATACTTACAGAAATATACAAGCTCAATTAAATCATGAGGAATCACTCAGACAAAACCAAACTGAGAGACATTTCATGAAATAACTAGACTGTACTCTTCAAAACTGTCATCATCATGGAAGACTAAGAAAGGCTGAAGAACTATTCCAGAGCAAGTACCTATCAGTATAGAAATCCCCCTCAGTAGTATGGGATACAATTAAATGCCATACGTGATCCTGGATCAAGGGGAAAATTACTGTAATGGACACTACTGGGACAACTGGTAAAATCTGAATACTGACTGCATATTAGATATTATTGTTGGATCAGTGTTAAATTTCCAGAATTTGAAATTGCATTATGGTTATATAAGAGGATGTATGCTCTTGTTCTTAGGAGACACATGCTAAAGCATTTAGAGCAAAGGGTTAAGATGTCTATACTCAAAAGGTTCAGCAAAAAATGTTTTAACTTCCAGTTATAAAATAAATTAAGTCCTGGGGATGTAATGTACAGCAAGGTGACTAGCTAATAATACTGTATTGTATTTTTAAAAGTTTCTAAGAGAGTAGATCTTAAAAGATCATCACAAGAAAAAGAACTGTAATTATGTGTAGTGATGAATGTTAACTAGACTTATGGTGGTGACTGTTACACAATATATACAAATATTGAATCATGTTATACACCTGAAACTAAGATAATAAGTCAATTTCATCTCACCTGGAAAAATTAACTTAAAAAGATGTTCCAAATGATAATAATATGCATACACTTAGAGTCAAAGCAAATGTAAACAACTGGTGAACCTAGGTGAAGGATTGTAAGTGTGTCCATGGTAAAATTTTTGGAATTTTTCTGTTAAGTTTGAAATTTCTCAAAATAAAAAGTTGATTTAAAAAAAAAAAAAAACTATGCAGGGGTGCCTGGGTGGCCAGTCGGTTAAGTATCTGCCTTCGGCTCAGGTCATGTTCTTGGGGTCCTGGGATCAAGCCCCACGTCGTCCTTGAGCTCCTTGCTGAGCAAGGAGCCTGCTTCTCCCTCTCCCCACCTCACCCCTGCTCATGTTTCTCTTGCTATCTCTCTCTCTCTAATAAATAAAATCTTTTCAAAAAATGAATTAATAAGTAAATATTCTGTGCAACAGAAGCACTGTGGGTATAAATTTCAACGTACACAAAATTTCATGGAAAACATTAAATAATACTTAAATCCATAATTATTGAAAGAGAGTATACCTAGAGAGCTTGAGCTTTGTTAGCTGCACATCCATTCTATCAATTACTGGAGGGTTTAAATGGTCTTCCCCAGACACCAGACTGAACTGATTTTGAACTCTGATTAGCCCAAGATCGACCACTACTGCATTAGTGGAAATGGAAGACTGTGGGATGACTATAACTGGTGCTTTCAGATCAATACTGAGAGAAACACGAAAACTCCTCTGGGCAAGATCTTTCACACTCCTGGCAGCCTTTTCTGCAGCCTGCGCAGTGGCAGCACTTAGAGCTTCTTTGGCTGTCTGGAAATTGTTCAGGAAGTTCTGCAGACACAAAGTATAAAAGAAGATAAACAGATGACAAGCACATCATTAATAATGCAATCTTCTTTTTTATCTATGCACTATTTTCTTCCTGTACATAACTTTCAATTGAGTCTTATTTATCTAAAATTAGGAAGGAATCACCGATCATCCATCTGTATTTATGAGCTACCTGATAAGGGCTAAGGGTATTTGGCTGAGGAACAGAAGGGGGGAAAAAAGCATTTTCAGTATTTCTTTACTTGAAAATTTGGTTGCACTATGTTCTGGCAAAAAAATAATTCCAGTTCTAGACAAAAATCATTAAATGACTCAGATTTCAGCTGTTAAAATGAGGTTTTGACCTCTACATTAATACATAAATACCATCTATAATCAAAACAATGCACGTCCTAAAATCCAAACTTTGTAAGATCTGCAATCATAACTACCAGACTTACTTAAGTATTTCTAAGTTGAAAAATCAATATATAAATAGAGATTTTACCAGTAGTGACATGAGGAATTTATGAAGATAGACAATCTGAATACAGCCAACACTCAGTGATACCACACCATCCACTTTGGACATGTCAGTATAGGACTCTCCCTCGGTAGCATCTGGATACAAATCCAAGTTAAAATGAAAAACTTCATTTCCCATTATTGAGACAGCCTGAAAAGCAGAGATTTGAATGTACTCTTTCCAAGAGGATAATGACAAAATAAACTCTCATTTAAAAGGGGCTTATATTTTTAATCATTATTGAAACAAAGATTTGTGTATCAAGACATATTTCATTAATATTTCTTAAAGTATATTTAAAAATAAAATCTCACATTCAATTATCAAAACATTAGCTATCTATTTACTACACCTACTTTTTTATGGACTGTCTTAGGATCAACATCTGTGACAATAATATTTTCCAATCTGGCAAATAGTGACTGTTTTCTTGACTGAAGAGAAAGAGAAGAATCAAGACCTGAAAAAAAAATTATATTATTACAATTTCTAAAGACCTACCATAATAAGATCAAGGTATTTCTTTTCATTGTGTAATTTTATTTGGGAGTGAAAATTTAGCTATATTTGAACTCCCAACTGATAAATAAGCGGCAATATTATATATTTTTAGTGTTATAAACAATGAAACCTATAAATTCATTATAAGTCAATTACCTGAATTTTCAACCTTCTGGAAAAACTATACCTAGTACAAATTGATTATCATGGGGTTTCAGGAAACCCTTTATATCTTATATCCAGTCATTTACACAGAAGCTCTAAGTTTCATGAATCAAATTCACTACAGATACACTGCCAGCTTGGAAAGAACAACAACAAAAAAACACGTAATTTTGGGGGCTTTTAGTTATTTAAGAATTTCATTAAGTATATTCTTTACATTTATCGGATCACAGTGAGCTGGTAAAGACAGAATCAGATTAGTCTTAGCAGCTTTGGCCTAAAAGAACGTAATGGGCTCATAGGCTCTCCTCTTCATTATAAGGTTGTTTTGCATTTGTACCAATAGAAAGCATATTCGTAGACCTTAACCTGAATTCTGGATTGACATCTATCCCAGCTAATCAACAGCATCCCCACATGGACGTTAGTATCTCTTTTCACCTCCAAGACAACTCTCAGAAAGATTCAAAATACTAATATATGTGCTTCAATTTGATGGTCAGATTCTGACCAGCAGCTATAGCCCAAAGAGCAAAGAAAACATGCAGTTCAATTATGTCATGAAAAAAATTATCGTTTTCACAGCTCAGAGCCCTCCATTTATGTATTTTTAACATTTTTTAAAAAGCTATCTTTTATTTTTTTATTTTTTTATTTTTTTTTAATAATGAAACTAATTCCACGAAGAATTAGTTTCTTTTTTTTTTTTTTAAAGATTTTATTTATTTATTT